CGGAGAACAGCGTAGGAGAGGCGGCTGAATGACCCACCACTAATTGTACATTACGATCCCACATGCCCTTCGCTACTAGTCTCATCTTTCCTTTACCTTCTCCTTCTCCTTTTCTGTCCATCTGTACAGGGAAAAGGGTTGCATAAAGCGGGGAACCTTTTTGTTTCTTGGATAAACGGGTATTTGCATGTTCTTAGCTGCATTGGCGTTGTACTATCTTGTTATACGTGTGTTTTCCTTGTCTTTTTGCATAGCAGCTTCCTTCCTTGTTGTTTTTAGCATCTTTTTCCAATTGGATACCCTGGGCGGTTTGCGCAGGATCTTGCGTGTGGGTGCGTTTGTTGAGGTAGAAATGGTTTATTTAACTGGTTACATGCATGGTTTCGTCGTCTTTGAGTGTGACTTGCACTGTAGAGGGATGTGATGATGCTAACTTAAAGATATTCATCCTTCATTTGAAACAAGGTATACGTAAAAATTGGGTATCACTAATACTACACTACATCCCGCTCACGGTATCTGCACGAGCACTTCGCACAAATCCGGTCCCCCACTCTACGCCCTCCTCTTCACCCTAGGCGTAGGCGTCCACTCCCTCCCCAACCCCGATCCTCTCCCCTCGCCACCAAATCCAGCAGTCCCCCCACCCCTCGGCGTCGCCCCACCCATCCTCTCAAACAGCCGCTGAGCAGCCGGCGTCAAATCGCCCTTCGCCTTCCTCCCTGGCGTCATACCCCCAACAGCAGCCGCCCCGCCCCTCCTTGGCGTCGGCGCACTCAAAAACCTCGGCGTCTCACTCGTAAAGATGCCCAAGCCCGATCCCGTTGGCTTCACCTGAGCGTGTGGATTCGATCGTTTCGCGCCGATTTTGTCGACCATCCTGTGATGCATCTTCTCGCGCGAGGAGGAGTCGTTGATGGTGAAGGGCGTGGCTGTACTAGAGCTGTCTAGACCGTAGCGCTCTAGGAGGTCGGTCGGCGCGTCGTCGTCGTCTGAGGAGGGGGAAGGCGGTTGTGCGTCTACGAAGGCGTAGCCGTTTACTCGCGGTGTTTCGCTGCCTGTGTATCCTCCCTCGCTGGGATTGAGACGCGGACGTCCTGCGACGGCGTCACGGACGGCGGAGAGAGTGGGGCTGGACGGGCGAGGAGGCTCGGCTTCGGGGGCGGGGAGGCGCGTGTTGTTGTAGAGGACTTTCTTTGGGGGCGCGAGGGACGAGTTTTCGGCTTCTTGGGCGCGCGTCGGTGCCCATTGTTCTACGCTGTCCGGGCCGAACATGAAGCTGTTCAAAGCGGTGTGGCGGTGGCCGGTGGGCGCCGCGGGTCGCTCGTCGAGGTTCTGGCTCGGCCTTGTGCTGAGGACGAGTTCCTTGCCTTCGGATGCGGCGGCGCGGGCTTCGAGGACTTTCTGTTGTGCTATGCGCTGTTTGCTTGCGTGCATGTTTCCTTCGCGGAGCCAGACGTTCTTGTCGAATCGCGCCTTGTTCTGCTTGTCGATGATCTGACTGAAACTCTCCTGGTCTTCGCTCGTGTACTTTGCTTGGAACGCGCCTAGGCTCATGTTCAGGTCGACATTGTCCAGTTTGCCTAGACCTTCATCGTCGTCTTCGACTTCCGTTCCAGCGACCGCGACGGGCGTGTCCGCGCCCCATACACTTGGAGTCTTGTCGCCAGCGCCGCCTGCCTTGTCGAACCTCGTTCTCGCTGCCGCCTTTCTTTGCCCGCTCGGCACCGGTGTCATGACCTGTGTGAGCTTCTTGCCAGCCTCTCTAATCCATGACCGATCTTTGCTCTCCACAGCATTCAGATACTCTCGTTGTGCGTCGGCCTCCGCGAGCCCTGGGAAGAAGTCGCGGCGAATGATGTGCGAAACGGCGGAAACATAGGTATCCTCGTCCAGGACTACGGAGGGGCGTTTTATGCGTTTCGGTGCGGGAGGCGGTGGCATAAGCGCATTCGACGCGCTACGCTTTGTGAGCGCTGTTGAGTTGGGGTTGGACATGATGTGGCCGGGGTGGGGTTGGATTTGCAGGGCGAATGGAGGTTTTCTAGTGGAAAGTGGCGGCTATGCAAACGACGACGAGGTTTGGATGCCCCTTAACGATGGAGGGTAGGTTTCTGTAAGTGTTGTGCACCCACGTGGGCTGGTGAAAGAGCGTTGGCGCAAAGCGAGTTTCGTGGACGATGATGTCTTAGCGCGGCAGAAAGTCTCCACCGCCTCCAGCCCTACAAAAGGTTGCGGGTGAAGGTACCTGCATAAGTACCAACAACAGTCACACAGGACACTCAATTAGCCGCATGATTTCAAATCTCCGTTGTTTGAGCAAAGTGAAACCACTCCACTAGGACAAAACGTAGCGTTAATCTTAGCATTGTTTCCCTAGCATATCTGCATTGAATCTACGTGCGGTCGCATCGCGGTACCCTATCATGAGAAACTCCAGGCACTCAGATAGTCTGGTACCAACGAAACGGTACTTTTGCGCCTGTGCTCTTCTGCGATAACATCATATCCAATATCCCGACCCTATACAGGGCGAGTGCCTCGTGACACTTCATAACTCGGGGCCAAATCGTGATTCTTTCAGCAGCGCACTGGGCTTAATGGCGAGTGTAGTACGACATAAAATCCTAACCAAGAACCGTGATCTAGTAGAAGGACTCGACCATGGCGTCCTTGTGTGTAGTGTTGATGTTGGAAGGACCGTTGCCCTCCCCGAGCCTGAAGACTGACTCGACGACGGAGAGCTCGGTCGCTGTGGTGTCCAGACCTAGATATTGAATTAGTCCACGCTGGTCTTGACGTTCTGAAGATTTTGTACGTACCAGTGACGGCCATCCAGTCATTGACGACCATACCCGCACCAACGACAGCGCTACCGCGGTTCACACTACCAGCTACAAGCGGCACCTGGAGCAAACTCGACAGCTCGTCTTGATCCTGAATGCTTGTCTTTGGGTGCACGATACCACCCTGATTGCTCAGAGCCATGTAGCTTCCTGTGAGCACGTTGTCCGCGATGGTTTGCCTGAACACCTCCACACCCAGCACATCGGCTATGATCTCCTCTGTTTCGCGTTCTATATCCGGGTGTACGAGAGCGACGTGGTCGTTGCAACATATTACGTTGCCGAGGGCTGATAGTCGCTCTTCTATCCTCTGGATCTTGACTTCGTCGGGTATGGAATTTCGGAGATGCTGGAGTTCTTGGTCTGTGGTTGTGGTGGGGACGAGGAGGCCTTTCTTGTTACTGTGGACTTGTTAGATGTTTGTCTTGAGGTATGTGTCGCATAGCGCGAGCTGTCGCAATATTGTAAACGTACCCAGCGGTCAGTCTGCCGATAATCCTGGTTCCTGCGATGGTGGCGTGGCAGATGGGAATGACATCTTGGAGTTCGGCTTCGAAAACACTGTTGCGCCACCGTCAGTACTGATTTCTCGCAGTGTTTGCTGGCCACAGTCGCATAGCAAGTCGTCATACTGTAACAACCCGCGAAGAGTTATAGAGCTATGCGCACCTGTAAAAGTTCTCGCTCGCGCCGACTGCGACGATCGCATACGCGTTGGTGAGTGTAGCGAAGACACCGACTTCGTTTGAGTTTTCGAACTGGGCGCGGACAGCCATGATGATTGAGTTGAAAGTCGAGTATGTGTGTGAGGTTCTGTGGGGAGTGGAGAAGAAAAAGAAGGGTCTTTAGTACGTGGATAGTGAGCTTGTGAGTGAAGTCTGCAGAAACTGTGAAGGCGGGACTATTTTGTAAAGAGCGACATCATAAGCCCCGCTACTGGATTGGGCCTAGCGCCTTCGACTCATCTTGAGTGAACCGAACCCTGCATATCTGGCAGGGCCCACCGACCCTTCGCCACTGCATCTGGATCTTGGTGCTGCAACGGCTGTGACTGTGAAAGTCAAGAGTCATCACTTGGCGACTGCGTCAGATGAGATGAAATGAGATGCGATGTTCGTCTCGGCGTGATGCGACTCAGACCCGTCACCGTGCGCGCTTTCGACGTGTCGCTGGGATCGCACGTCCATGATCGTGAAGCAAGCCACATCCCTTCACTTTGCCATATGGCTGTGCACTCGCCCATTCTGTAGCCTCGCCCGACTTGCAGCCTCATGGCAACCGGACGCCGAGCGTAGCAACGTTCACGAAACCTTGTGATAGACTTTCGGAGGTTTACTCAAAGGCGACTCAAGTCCATCGGTGTGGTCGATACTTGATCAGAGCACCGGCTTTGCTCAAGTGCACGGTGCGAAGCTCCACATGACACATGTCATAACGCTCCCGTAGTATTCCGGCTGATCGCAGTGATGCGCCCAACTTCCTCAGGTTCAACCTTGCGATGATCAAAGGAAGAAGCGATAGCATGGAGAAGGTATTCGTTATATTGACGTCTCATCGTACAGTTGACGTAGCACGCATGACTATAATTACAAGATCATATAGTTCGTCAAGCTCGAACCACAGCGAGATTATCCAGGAGCAGCGCACGGTTGGCCGCTATGCTTCAGATCCCCAGCCACCGCGACAGGCACCCTTGCCTCACATCAAACTTCCAAGACGAACTGACAGGTGACAAGCAACAGGTATGGAACATGGAGATAATGGTATTGTAAAGTGGCTGATGGCGCCAAACTGAGCAAAGCAAATGGGTAATACGCTTTCGGTCACACTAGAACAAGCAGCAAAAAGAGAACGCCCGCTAAACTGCAGCATGCCGTGCACAATACGCGTGGAGAATCGAAAAGTGAAAAATGTACAATAGCGGCTGCGCCTAGACAGTAGACCCAAAACGAGATCGAAGTAGATATCGAGGAGAGCGTTCATGTCGTGTGCCGGAGCCAGAAAAACATTAACACTTGCGTGATGGCATGATTATGATCGTAAATGGTTCGTTATGCAAATGCATCGCGTGCAAATGTCGGTTGTAAATTGTGGGATTCGGCCTAGAGAGGACGGTCGGAGAGGTTCGCTGGACTGTAGAGTGGGTGTCACTCATTACATGCGCGATGCAAGAATGGCCAGCGCGACGATGACACCGATCAGAAGCGTGCCAACTCCGGACATGACACGGTTGAGGTTGCGCCACCAAGTTGCTTTCTGGAAGGATTTGTCGTCGGCGGGCCCCATGGCTTGGGCGAATTGCTGTTCCAGGTCGGCCTGGCTGGCAGTTGGGGTACCAACAGCGTTCGGGTCGAGGGGTAGAGGAAGGAACGAGGCAATTATCCAAGCTGGGTTTCTGGTTAGTACATGTCTTCATTCATACGGCGGTATATCGTGGGTTAAGACTTACCAGGTGGGAACAGAAATCCTATACAGAAAAGCAGGATCTGTCTGTTTTGGCGCCCGAAGAGTGTGACATGAACGTCGTCGTCCAGTGATGGTGCGTTCCAAGCGCTGTACAATTGTCCTCTCCGATCGGTCCGGAGGTGCGGTGTTGAGTAACCGCTGAGCGGGTACATGTGAGGTCCGACTGCGTATACTGCTCCGTCAATCGAGTGAACGTCGTCTGCTAGTGAGACAGTATCGGCGTGTGAAGCGCGGTTCCTTGAATTGTTCCTCGGTCGGTTCCGTGGTCGGTAGATGCTGAGTGGGAAGTTGCTCTCTGAAGGTGTGCGCGATCGTCCGCTGTGGGCGGTTCCCAGCCGTACGCTCTCAGAAGACTCGGATTCCGGGGCTCCAACTGAGATGCGTTCTCCCTTTTGGTAGTAAACCCTTGCCCAAGCTGGAATGTTGTCTGCAATGAATCTGGACATATGCGACTGAGAGGATCCAGGTCGCTCGTCGCTCATCGATACTGCATCGGTACTATTGGCTCTGTTGCGCAAGTACCCCGAGTTCTTCATGCGCAGAGGGATCGATGTAGGCAGCGGCGAGATCGTGTCCATGTGTTCACTGTTATCATCGGATGAAGATCTTGTCGTAGGAGAGAAGAGCGGCCGGGGCACTGGCACTGCAGAGAACTCGGTGTGACCTTCCGACGATACATTGTCCGACGACGACTGTGCGCTCCCAATCGTCTGTCCCCTCCGGCGTGGAATCGCTGTTCGACCGTTGCCCGCATAGCTTTCTTGTGAATGTGATCTGGCGCCGAGCGACCGGGAGTTTCGTGCGAGGGATCGCGAATCGCGTTCGGAGACGGAGGCAATTGTTGACAGCTGGGAGCTCCAGTGGTGTACCAACGACGGGTCTTGCATTCGGGATGCGATGTTGGGCGCGTCCTGGGATTCGGCACGCGAGCTATTGCCGGACGGCGCGCGTACGACGGGGTAATTAATTCGGATTCCGCTCGCGAAGGATGCTGTGCTGGCTTCATGAAGAGATGGCGATGGCTGCGACGAGGCTAGTGTATGTGTTGGTTCGATGCTGGTGTAGGAAATATCAGAAAACGTGAACGACTCTGTACTTTGTTGAGGATGCAATACAGGTTGTCGATAGTCAGTGTCACAAGTGAGAACAGGCCCCCTAGCTTGACGTTCGGTTGCCGCTGGGCCTTGGGGAATTTCTGGTAACGGTCGACCGAAACTGACACTTGACGAGTTTCCGGCATTACTATTTGGGTGTGGTGTGGTGGTAGGAGCAGGTGAAGCAAAAGATGCAGCAGAGGCCTTGGGCGTTAATGCACGATCGGAATCTCCACCAGAAGAAGAGGGAGGAACAGCCCGGATAGTTGGCCTTGCAGATTGCGAGGAAACCACCTCCTCAAGTACCTCGAGGCCCTTTGGTTCATCTTCTAATTCCGGTGGGGGTGAGGATGGGGCAGTGCTCCCCTGGGAAAATCTTAAAGACGATGGCGTAAAAGAGGATGCTACGAGGGTATCTTCCTCTGACATGCTAGTGGAGGCCGAATGTCTGAAACCCTTCTTGCGTGACAGGATAGGCTGTGGTGTTCGCGCTCGGCTCGCCTCGAACTTTGCGATGGTACTGGCGACCTGGCTGCTATTTGAAACACGAGATCCCGGCCTTTCAAAGCCATAACCCGGCGCATGACGGGGTGGGGGCAGGATTTGCGAGGGTTCGCTGGGTACGGGATATTTCTGATAGATGTCATGTCCGGGATCTTGAACAATGCGGATGGTTGACCCAGAGTCGCGGTTAGTTTGCGAGTTTGAGCGTTCGTGAAGCGGCTTGCGGACAGGAGACGTGTTTGTTGACTGCGACTGCGGTGGCGAAAATCGAGGACCTTGTGCGAGTGTTTTTTCGAGTGCGTTTTGTGAGTCTGCGCGACTGTTGCGTTGTTGTGAGGACATGCTGTGGTGGTGGTGTGGGCCGAGGATGCCGAAATGTGGATTGGTTGTAAACGCGGGCGGAGAAGTCGAAACCGATCATTAATGACGGGGTGTTGGTAAAAAGACAGTAAGAATAGGACGTAAAGACAGTATGTGAAGGTAGTCAAAGAGTGACAAAAATGCTAAAACATATCAAAAAGAATGGCGGCCCGCAGGCATTAACAGTATGAGGAATGGAGGGAGGGAGGACGAGGAGTGGTGGTGAGGTGAGGACGGCGGGCGTCTGGCAGCAGCTCGGCCTAAAGAGGGTTCGTGGCTGTATGCAGAAGCAGGTTCGCGCTGCAGGAGCGATCCAATTGACAGCTCAGCCCCGGCCAGTCTGGAGCACGACCCGCGACTTATGATGACTTGTACAGAGATGGACCCAATTCGCACAATATGACTTTCCTCTAGCCTATACCGGTCGACAAGATGATATGAGGTGCTGGATGCGCGGTCCACCTGGGAGTGCGATCACTGCGACGCGCCTGGGGAACCCTCGTCGAACAGCCTTCCTAGTCAATCGGGAGAAGCGCGTCGCGGTTGAACGTTTAAAATGAAATTATATTTTGGGACGGGCCAGTGACGACGCGCAGCGTGGCGGACTAGCCGTTGAATGGCAGAGAGGCTGGCCAGTGGGCCTTTGGTTGTGCGTGCTGCAGGGGTAACGCGGGAGGGCGTGCTAAGACGTCGTGGGCGGTGATGGCGCGAGTCGCAGGAGCCGAGACGAGGGAACGGACGATCGGAGCACGTGATCCAGCGTGACCGATGGGGCTTGGCGGGGTATCGAAGGTGAATGGCTGCGCTGCGCCAACAAGATGTACGCGACAACGCGGGGGGATCTCACGCAGCTATAAACAACGCCCATGATTCTTTTCCTGCCTCTCCTGTAGCGCGTTTGACGTGCGGCTGCTTTTTTGCAACACCTCGCTATGCCTCCACCCCTCAACGGCTGGCGCGACAAGCTCAGTGCGCTCGAAGACTTGTACCAGCGACATGTCAAGGGCGGTAAGTTGGCGCTCCTCCACCTCAAACCCTCCTAAACGCCTGCGCGACCCACATCGGACGAACTCTGCTGCGCATTCTCGTCGAAACATCGCCATGAGGTCTAACGTGGTGCCAGTTCCCAAACCGCCTGTTCTTTCGTCGAGAGTTGCGGCGCTTCTGTCGGTACGTTTCAAGTTTGCTCCCCACCACCATTGCCATTGTTCTCACCCAATGGCACCGCACGCGCCAAACATGCTGAAGTAGCTAACACCCACGCCTGCAGGCCGCCTATGTCTTTATCTACGTAATCCCCTTCTACCTGTCGCCCGCCACGCGACCATCTCCGACTCTCACGCGCGATGCGCCGTCGTCGATACGCGCCCGGGTGCGCGCAGTGACCTTTTCCACCGTCCTATGCTCCGTCCTCACCATCGTCGTACTGTACCAACATGACGCATCGGCCATGGAGATCATCCGTTTGCTTGGCATCTGGCCTGTTTCACTTGTAGATACCTTCCGGACCATGCTTCTGGTGACTATCCTCTTCGCGGGTCCCATCTTCGAGCATGGCATTGTAGACGGTGACTGGAAAGACTGGATCAAACTAAAGGGCGTCCACGAGACCCTGAGCAGCTGGATCGGATACAGGAACTACATAGTCGTACGTCATCTACTTCAGTCCACCCAATGCTATGCTAACTGCCCAGGGCCCCGTTAGTGAAGAAGTCGTCTGGCGCTCGTTAATCATCCCCCTCCATGTCCTCGCGCAGTTCTCCGGCAAGCAGATCGTCTTCCTCACGCCACTGTACTTCGGCATCGCGCATCTCCACCACCTCTACGAGTTCCGCATAACCCACTCTGAAGTTCCGTTCTTCGTCGCCGTGCTCCGCTCACTCTTCCAGTTCACATACACGTCGCTCTTCGGTTTCTTCGCTGCCTTTGTCTTCATAAGAACCGGAAATGTCTACACGTGCATGATAGCGCATACCTTTTGCAACTGGATGGGCCTTCCACGGTTCTACGGTCGTGTGGGTGTCGAAGCCGGCAGTCCCATCGGACCACCAGACGTTGACAAGAAGGACGATGAGCAGAAGAGCGTTCCACTGTATCAGGGCAGGGGTGTTGGATGGACCGTGGCCTACTATATTGTGCTTGTAGCAGGCGCTCTGGGCTTCTACTACCAGCTCTTTCCGCTGACCGAAAGCAGTCACGCTCTGCCTGTAGACTTGACGAAGGCGTAAGATCACCATGCACAGTTGGAACACACCAGGCTGCAAGCAGTAGACCATACTGAGATGTGCTGCACGTTCATGTATGAGGTATAGCACAAGTAATTGCCATCGAGATGCTCATCTGAGTCTCGCAATAGCCCACCAATTATCCTTCTCATACCCCGACTCCAATACAACCCCACCAGCCTGCTCAATATCCCCCTCCAGCTCCCCTTTCCGATACAAATGATAGTATCTCAAGAACGTCTTATCACCATCCGGCTTCGGCGCCTCTTCCTCGTCAGCCTTGCTCTCGTCTTTCTTCTTCTTCCGCCCCTTCTCCTTCTCTTTCTTCTGCTTCAAGACCCACGGCACCATGACGTCCTGCTCGTGACCTTCGTCCCAGCCTCTTCTACTGTCTTTTTGTTCAAGTGCCCAGACATATATGAGTGCTCTGCCACCGCCTAGGCCAGCATCTCCGGTCTGACTCGATGGTGATGAAGGGCGCAGTAAATCCAAGACACACTTCACAGCTTCCACCCTCCGTGCCGGTGTCGACAAATGGTGGATGACCGCTATCGAAATAGCGAAATCAAACACTCCGTTTGGATGAGGCAGAGAGAGATTGTCTGCTACAACTACATCGTGCGGTTCATGTTGTTTCGCGATCTTGACAAGGTTTGTAGATCTGTATCGACGTTAACTTTCAGAGACAACAGCCAGCATTAGTCATAGGATAGTCAATTTGATGAACAAACAGTTAGAACATACCGATCACTACCCACAATCCACACTTTCTTGTTAACCGCCAAATACTTCCCATTCCCACACCCGACATCTGCACCTACAGCGCCATCATGTTGTTCTTTTAGGAAACGCTCGACTATGGGCCAGGGCTAGCATTCGCGTTAGTCATGCATGCGATTTTGGAATATTTGTGACGGGCGGACGCACACCTTGTAGCGAGTGGAAGAAAAGTGGGATGCAATCTCTTCATAAACAGAGTGTACGTGTTCGGCTTCGTAGGATGCGCCTTGGGTTTCTGAGGTTGCCATGGTGGTTATTGCACCGATGGGCGAGTGAAGATGTGACTGCAGGGAGGGCTGATGTGCGTGGTGTGGTCCACGGGTGGTGGATGGGGGAAGGGCCAATGGGGGGTGGAGGGGGTGCCAAGACGCTATTGGGGTGTGCGAGTGTGCGTCTGTCGCACTGCGTCTTTCGGGCTCTACACTGACATCCTCTCACGATGTCACGAGAACGTCGTGTGTGAAGACACGGCGTTGAGATAATCCCTAAATACTTGACAGATATCGAAACCTGACCACTACGTCTGGCAAAGTAGCAAACACCTGCCCCAGAACGCGATGATGCTGAAGCTTACATTATATGCATCCCTTTCCTTCTCCGCCCTGATTGAGCCACGACCTCGCTCATCAAACTACGAATCTCTCTGCTCAAGATGTTATAGCCTAAGGCTTTGAGCGTCCTGATGGCTTTGCTTATCATGGATCTTCATGAAGGCTGCGTGTATGCTACTCAAGTTATCGAGATCTGGGCTATGAGCTGTATTCGGTCTTATCTCCATTCTACTGGATGCACAACTTCGAATTGCGGTAGTTACAGGGTATGTCACATCGCATTCACCGTGCCCGCTTCCGCCTTTCTTTGGGTGCATGTCAAACGATGGCAAGAGGACAATGGCGGTTGACATCGCATCCATTGTTCCTTTGTGGCGGTCATCCTGTGGCTTTAAAACTCGCAATTTCCCGTTATCGATGCCAGTACTTTGTGAACACTACCATCTTCTTTTCCAAACATCGGATCAATTTAGCAATTCTTACAGAAAGTCCACGTCCGAGATGGCCACTCCTAGGGTATATAGGGCCCCATCAGGCAGTCGACGAAGCGCCCGTATCCCGGCGGCTATAACCGGTACTCCAGCTAACGCGCGTGTTAGCTTACGTTCGGACTTGCAGGAGAATCGAGACCGCATAGTATGTTCGTTCCCGAGCTATATTGTTCTTACTGATCATCTCTTAGGCAGCACGTATAAGTAAGAGATGGCTTATGCGTGGGCGTGCTAGGCCACAGAGAAGCAAAGGCTTCGCAACTGGTACGAACTGGTGCTACATCAACGCCGCGCTCCAGGCCCTGATGCATCAGCCCCAGTTACTGAACTGGCTTCAAAATCATGATCGCCCGGTCAGACGAGGCACTGGTGGCAGTAACATACGTAATGCCTGTCGTGCAAATCCTCCACCGTATTGGGGAGCAGCTACCAGTAATGCGGTGCCAGATTGTACTGGATGCATGATGAGAGAGCTGGTCAACACTTATTGGGCTAACACTCCCAACGCCACAGTCGCCCCCGACATGCCAAGAATACAAGGAATCGCATTGGCTGGTGATGTCGCGCAGTTGGCCGCCAACGGCCAGGATCTAGTTCAGCTGGACTCCAACGACTTTTATCAGGTGATTCTGCAACGCTTGCAAGTCGCCAGTGCGTGAGTAAACGTCCCTTCGTACTTTGCCAACATACAAACTTACTAGTTCTAGGACACAAGAGTGGGAAGAGGACTTCCGCGCACTATTCCAGCTCGACAGAGAAGAGCACGGCCGTTGTATAAGATGTGGCCACGAAAGACTCATCGCGCGGATTCCGGAAACAGGCATCCTTCTAAATGTGCCCACGGCCACAACAACTTTCAACGCAGCGTTGTCGAGATTCTTCCAAGAGCGTAGAACGTTTCACTGTGCCATATGTGTAGCTGATACTACCCATCTGGTCACAACCAGTATTCAAGCTGGTCCCCAAATCCTGAAGATCAAACTTGCCATCTTCCAAATGAAAAAGTCGGAAAAGAAAGACAAAAACGGCAATCCGCAGCCTGCTACAGAACACAAGATCAACCACCGCATGGCTCACCCCAACATACTCGACCTAACTCAATATCAAGAGAATGCTCATCTTCCCCTCCGCTACCGGCTATCTAGTGTCATCTCTCACTCTGGCGAAGGAACAGAGACCGCAGGCGGACACTACATCGCGAGTGTTCGCGGTCCAGGCGACCGCATCACTTGCCTCTCTGATTCCGTGAGGCAGACTTTTACACAGGCTCAATTCGAGGCAAGCCCACAGGTGGCGGGAATATCCCCCCCAGCAAAGCAGGTTTATGTACTTACCTACCTGAGGGATGAAGGGAGGTTGCAACGGGAGATAAAAAATCTGGAGTCGACGTTGAATTGAATGGGTGTGGTAAGTTTGGATTGGCAGTTTCCCTCTTTGTTAGGTATGCATGTATTGTAGTCACTGCATTTAATCACGTATGCCGTTATATCCTCGCTATTTTGCGAATAATTTAGTAGTCGCGACATCGAGAGCATCATTTCCAGTGCGATTGCTTGCAAAAGTGGCACCTGCGCGCCCCGTGTTGAATGACGTCTTTGATTCCGGAGCTAGAACTGTGAAATTGGTCTCTCATCGTCAGTACCAAAAGCACGGCACATGCAGAAAGTTTGTCACTTCCGACTCTGAGGAAGGCGCGTTCTGGCCAGGAGGTGGATGCTGCAAATGAGATGGCTGGAGCCTTGAGGGGCCAAAGACACGCTAAAATGCGGCATGAGCTCGCGCGACGCGTCAAGCTTCCGACACTGCGCGATGTGCCAGCAACACGTGGAATATGAGTTTATCTCTATTGTGCCTGAAGCTGACAAGAACAACGATGGCAGTGATGAAGTAAGGGCAGCGATTTAGTAAGTATCGAAACGTATCACGACCAGCGAATCCTGTCATCACACTTACCGTGAATGCCGACAAGTGTCAAACGAAACAAGACATCCGCTAGATCCTCGATATTCAGATATTCGCACCTGTATAGACACCCAGAACGGAAGAGCAACGAGAAACCTTCATCGTCCATCGGCGCTGTCGCACTTCCGTTTCCAAATATGGGTGTTTAACCGGCGGCGCATCACTGGACGATGGCACTGCACGATTAGATGGAACTTCATCAACCCATATTGCGCCGCGTACTGAACCGCAGATTCTCGGTAGAAGAAGCCCTCTGCCGCGTGGCGCTCGCGCTTCCTACAAGATTCAGATCGTCTGCAAAGAATCCTAGACGCTTGGCTATCCGCATCTCACAGCACTTCACACCCAAGTTGCTGCAACGCATACCAAAGTTTCACACCGCCCACAATGTACATCTCAACGCTCATCACGACCATACTCTTCGCTACCGCTGCTCTCGCGACTCCATACCCATGGGCTGCACCACAGGCCAGCATTGTCCCTGCACCCAGCGGAACGCGCAAGCACAACCGCACGCATAGACACCACAAAGAACCGACACCGACATTCAAAGAGCCATGCAAATGCGCTATGCCGGTTGTGCCGATGAACCTGCTCAGCACGAATGAGAAGTGCTTGATGAAGCATGCTGCTGAGATGGGCTGCTACATGAGCTCCAATGGTGGATGCCCGTCGCCGGCGCCTGCTGTAAGTATGAAGATAGAGAGGAAGGAGGTTTGCTGACGAGGTGTAGTGTGGACTTGGGCCGCTGCCGGGTATTCCGATGCAGTAGACAGCGATGCAAAGGGATGATCTAAAATTTTGATTGGATACTGTTCGGGAAGCGACTGAGTCGATTGCAATACGTATCACGCCTTGCCGATGATGCACGGAATTTACACATGCATATACTTCCCAAAAGACTTCCATAAGCCCTACCATCCCCAAGTCCTTCGCAGCACATCTTGCTGTCATACGAGGTTCCTGGTGACACTACTCAGCCCTCCTTCTCTTTCCTTGAGTCCCACCAATACTACCATCCAATGCCCTCTTGCTAACACCCGCATCTCTAACCACCCTCAGTCTGTCCTTCTTCAATGCCCCAGCATGTCTACCTGCGACTTCTTTGTCTGGACAGCCATTCTCGCCAGGCTCGATCAGCGGCTCAATGTTTGCCTCCTTCAGCAGCGCAGGAATTTCGCTAAGCATGGCTTTGTACCGACCTTTCTCTCGGCACCAAAGTATGAGTGCGGTCAGCGGACCGGCATCCACACCTGTAGGCAACGACTGCAAGCCATGGGCGAGGGCAAGAAGCGGGTAGTCGATTTTCTCCCATACATCGTAGATCCATCCTTCAGCAGTATAGCTCGAAGTCAAGTCGATGACCGTGGAATCGACGACCGGAGCGGGTGTAGGTGATGGTGTATCCTTCCCGACTTCATCAATGTCCATCTCTTCGACCTTAACGCAATCCCTCTTCTTGGCAAGCTTAGCTGCACAGGCAATACTGTGTCCCATCTTGATCTCGTCGCCCTGAAGCCCTCGTGTCATGATGATGAAATCTCGTATTTGAGTTCCGGTCACGCCCGCCTTTGTCAAACGCTCAGCTGCATGACCCCAGTAGTAGTGCTGTGGAAAGTAGGACAATAACTCCATGATCGTGAACTCGGTGTCGCCAAGGAAGGTTATGTCCGCCGTGACGGATGTTGCAACACTCTTGAATGGACAAAACAAATTCTTATCCTTGACTCCATCATCTTGGTTCTGAAGCAACACAATATGCTTGTTCTCTGATGTAGTCGGGTCAGGCATGGCAAGCATCATCAGCTCGGGGATAGGTAACTTGAGCTTGCGCGTGGAGCGTATTGCGCCGGTTCCTCGCCAGTTCATGCCAGGTGTGGGGATGAAGTCAGCGTCAGGGTTGGTCTCCTTGAATGATAGCCAGCGCCACGCATCGCAGATGTCGAAAACCTTGTCTGGACAGTCGCGGGTTTCACTCCATGGAAAGCTGATGACAGGCGCAAAAGTGTCGGAGGCGACAGGACTGGTAAGCTCATAGCTCCCGAGCTGTTCGTTCGGAGCATTGGAGGGGGCGTGGAAGTCAATCTGCCCCTTCCAGGGCAAGACCCAATCAACACCGTCGAAGTTGAATACGTCGGTATCGCTTCCATCGCTGAGTTTGAGCATCTCGGGTACCAGTCCGTACTCAGGGTGTAGTTCACCACCTGGTACATACTTGTGCAAGCCTTGTTGGTGAAGTTCTTCGCATGTAAGCGGCATGGGCCCAACCGGTGTGAGCTTGAATGCTTGACGATATGGATCGAAGGCGATGGGTAAGAGACCAGACCATGACACATGCTTCCATCCCATAGGAAGGACAAGCTTCTGAACCAAGGTGAAGTCGGGTAAGCCGCCAATGATCGGGACGAAGGCTTGATGGAAAAGAAGGCGTGGGTCCATAGAAGGATATGGGTAGGAAGGGTGTGTGCTTCCTCCGGGCGGATATTGTAACTGCCAAGATAGCGAATGAATAGTGGGTAGTCCATCGAACGGTACGGGATCGGCCTTGATAGGCTCGGTGCTGAAGCTGAACTCCGAGTGCGCTGCAGCCTCCGGTGCTTTCGTTGCCGGAAGTAGTTTACGAAGAGTTCTGGGCGCTGCGACTGGTACTTGGATAGTATCTGTTGAAGAAAATGGTCAGCAAATGCGCTGATAGCATTGAGAGAGGAGGCACTTACATATCGGCTTTGGTTGCTTGCGCAGTCGGGTACTTCGGCGAGTAGACGTTGGACTGAGAGTCTGCTCCAGCTCACGAGCAAGCATCGCGTCATCGTGTGTAGAATCATCCATTGACGGCGAAGATATGGGCTTGGCGTCATCAATACCGCCGCCATCTGTATCGATACGACTCTGCTCCAGGACAGGGGCTTGATCGACAACGAACTTGGCTTGAGAAGGAGAAGTTTGCCAGACTAGCTCGGGCTGCAAAGAGCCTGTTGAAGTTGCAGTGCCTGCATCGCGATGAAAGGTTGGTGTCTCTGGCGAAGGTAGTCCATGCCAAAGGATCGGCAAGGGCTTCTTCTTGGGCGTGCATGGTGCGTCGGGCTGCGCTACTTCTGTTTCGTCATCGTTGTTGGCGATAGCGGTCTGACTGTATGGCATCTGGTCGCCCGAGTCGCTCTTGCCATCAAAGACATTGTAGAGTCGTGACAATGCTGCGTCGCGGCGTCGGCTATACTTTGCAGTCTCTACCGCCGCAATAGCGGAAGCGCGACCGTCAACGCGTTGCTGGTAGCTTGCATGCTCGTAAGGAAGATCGTCGTGAACTTCAGGTACAACCTGCGGCGAGTTCACGTTGCCTGTCTACGTGTTAGTGTTCGACTCGTGCCCGATCCATCTAGCAGATAAACTTACTGGAGCTGATGTAGGCCTCCCTGGTGGGAGAGGGCGTACGCCAAGTATGTCCCATGGCTTTCGGCGATTGCGTACTTGCAGTAGTGAAGTGCGGATCGGTGGAAGAAAGCATGCTGGGCGAGTTGAAGTCAAAAGACCTTGTCTAGCGCTGCAGCGAGGATGAGGAACGGTGATAAGAGCGATGATATCAATATGACAAATGGGGAAGATGAGGATGACGAGAGGTGCTGGCTTCACCTTCACTTCTTGCGCACGGACGCTTCATTGTGAGCGCTAGCCGCGTGGAGTGTAGGTGACGGCGACAAGACATGAGAGGAAAAACGCTCTTCCGGTCGATTGAGAGGATGCATGGAATAGAGTGTGAGATAGTATATCAAGATGTGAGCAGGGGACTTGAATATAAAGAGGAATGTAGACTTGACAGACGACAATGTCATCTTCATTTGCTATTACGAGTCAATGTTGATAGACAGCGGTTTATACCAGCTGGGCTAAACCCTACATGTGTCTACCATGTAGTGCCTAATGCGCCAATCGCTGGGCCTTCGCCATCGAAGAACTCTTCATCCAACAGACTGAGCAATACCTGCTGGCCCACCCACTGTTCCTCAGCTGCAGGCCTGATCCTCTCCGGAGGCAAGACGAAACCAAAGTCACCAGTATCGGGCAGTTCAATGGTCATGGAGAACTTGGCGCGACCGATGGTGTACACATGGTCGATAGACGCGCCTGTTGTCGGATACAGGGTTGCGCCACTAGGGCCGTAGGTGTAGGTAGTCGCATTGGTTGAGTAGTAGGCAATGTTTTCGCTCATCAAGGCAGCGGCCTTGGTCCACATGCCAAGTTCTGGCGCGTAGAGAGTCTCCTTGTGGCCGAATGGGTACAGGATCAACTGAGAGTAGCTGTGCCAGTCAATGTATAGCTTGATGCCTTGCTCATCGCGAATCTTGCGGATCAGGTTGTCCATTCCCTGGTTCTCAGGCGTGTCGCGGGGCGCTTCTCCCCTGTATGTCTGCGAGCATGGGTCTGTTGAGGCTCCGCGTGGGTCAGCATCCCAGTTCCTGAGATTGCATGTCAGTGTATGCCATACGCATAGGGCAGCATATTTGCTCACGTCTCCCAGTTCCGGTTCACATCGCGACCATAGCAAGTCTGGTTGGCAGCGTTCTCTGGCGGTGGCATGCGGTTCTTGCGCCATAGGCGGTCGTTTGTTTGAGAAAAGACGAAACCTATCCTGTATTAGCAACAACCAGTGGATCTATCCTTGGTGATGTGACGTACCATCGGGGTTGACAAAGGGAAACATGTAGATATCGTAGTTATCCAGAATGGCTTGCGTGTAGTTGTTTCCTGCCTTGTACTCGTAGGTGAGCGCCTTCGCGATGTACTCAATGGTCATAGCAGTGATCCATTCACGAGCATGAACAGTTCCGTGGTAGATGACCGCGGGCTTTCCTGGACCGTCTTTTCCGTAGAGGTGAACACCGAACATGTCGCGTCCCTCAAAAGACGTTCCAGTGCTTGTCCAATTCGAATTGTCTGGGAACGATTCCTGTAGATCGCGCCACCATGTAATGTGCTAACGATGATCAATTAGCTCTGGATCGAATAGCCGTGACACATAACCTACGTCTTCATACGGGTGGTAGCTATCAAACCACGCATCTTCTGAACCGTTGGTTTGTCTCTTCCAGTCCCTCTTGACGTGTGACTCTCGGGCGATAGAGTGGGCCAGGTTCTCATGCAAAGTTCGGGACTTGAGCCCCAAAGCATTGAAGGCGTCCAACTGCTCGGGTGCAATAAGGACATCCAGGTTTCCACGGATTTCGTTCAAAGTCTCGTGGGGAACAGCAGCAAGAGCTCGCTTTGCTGCAGCATATTGGGATCCAGTAGCTCGGACGCGATGGACTTGGTAGCCATCGTATGTACGGGGCTGCGGGCTGCGGATAGTCGCACCTGCAACGAGGGATAGCCAGGCAAGGCTGAGTACGAACTTCATGATGTTGTTCCGCCACGGAAACGATCAATTGACGAGCGTGAGGTATTCAAGTTTGTAGAAATTGAGCCTTATATAGCTAACCATCTTCCTCACCTGGGCGCATCTTAGTCTGCTGGCACCATGATAAGCACAAAGCGTGTTCTTCCAAGCCATGACCATGGACATTGGCAGCTCAAAGTGTGCACGGTGACATGATTGATGTTGCCCAAGAGCCCGGTTAATCATGGATGAGGTGTAATCGGGACGTTTCCCCAAGATATGGTGGCCTTGACCTGCCAGTTCTGCACTAGACCTGCCATGGCATTTCTGGGCGAGGGGTAACAACGTCATCTGCGGGCTTACTTTGTTCGTGAGTGAATACGTTATTTCGGTGGAAGTAAGCCGAGCAGATTTTGTCGCGTTGCAATTACATGCATAGGTTGTGGCGTAGCAGGCTGGGCGGAGCCGCTGTCCAGGTGGGCTCCAAGGCTGCTTCCGCAATTGCCTCAGTACGACAACGTGAGGCCCAGGAACAGCATCGTGGAATCGGAGAATATCCAGACCATCATTGTTTACTGAACGACCCTACGAACTGGTTGTAATGCACCGACCCGAGTGCCGCAAGGAAATGAGGGGAAGTCGCGGATAGAGTGGGATGATTTCCGGACGGAAGCGACACTAGTACGCAACCAGATTAGCGGTTTCCCCGACGAATGGGCCTACCGCTGCCGACCCCGACCGTGACCCCATCCATCTCATCACATCATCAGCGACTGCAGCATCGATCAGGATACGAATGCCATGGGAACTGCAACTATTGTTGTTTTAAGGTCGTTCGTTTGCCGACCGATATGGCCACCGCATGCTACATCCAGACCTTGCGAAAACATGTGCCATCCAGCAATCTGAAGTCTTCCGTAGACGTTCAAGTACCGACTTTACTAGCAGATGAGCACGACGCAGTCATGTCTTTCATTGAGTTGTTACATCGGACACACAGCGCGAGAGCCAATACCTCAGGTCAAACCGTCTACATCATTGGCGCTGGAGATTTTGCTCCAAACTACGCGACGATGAGAAGCAATCGACAGGCGGGGATATATACGTTGAGCCTATGCAATGTCGATTTTCGGGTTGCATTCGTTACATCAACAGAATCAGTATGTCTTGAGTCTTCTCACGAGCTTCGAAACAAAGAGTCGAACAATGTTCGACTCGACGTCCTTTGTTTCCTTGTCGCCTCGGCCTCCACATGCTCCTCTAGACGTGCGGTCCTCCTCTTGTATACACAGTGCCTTTAGTACATAGAACGGCGAGTGAAAACAATACTGGCTAGCAATTGCTGAACTTTCACCCTACCACGGTAGACTCCCCTTCTTTCGATTTGATATTGTCTCACGAATCTCGACCTTGGTGAGCACAACTCAACTGTCTCACCCCTGACCAGCCGAACCAACTCTCTCACGCTATACTCACGCTGTATTGAAACCATGTCTTCAATCACATTCACGCGAGACGAAGTCCAGGACATGCTCGACGCAGCACAATTAAATGCCGGCCATCTCTTCGCAAACCTTCCAGACGTGCGCGAACTGCTTCAAACGCAGCATCGAGAGAGCCTGATGGAATGCAACTCCCGGGGTATTGATCAAATGAAGGTGCTTCAGCAATCATTGCGCGAGGAGAGCAAGATCATCGATGGCCACAACAAACACCGCCTTGGGAAGGCGAGAACCGCCTTCAATGATCGCGTTATCGACCCAATGATTGCTGTAGAATACAGGGAAGAAGAAAATATCCCTGCAGACCTCCACTGGTATCCACTACACACTGAGGTTGCAATCCACGATGGGTACGCCACGGCTCATCTCTTTGATCAGCCTGAAAGTGACGAAGAAGACAACCAAAAGTATCCAGATGACCAACCTGCCTTCATTGGAAATGGAAACGAAATCCCAATACCTGTCGCTCATCAAGACATTGCTTCCAGTAAGATTGTCAAAAGGAAACCGATTCCCAAAGGAAGGAAATCCACTGGCCCGGGTACCCCATACTATGATAAACTGAAGAATGCGCCTTCGGCTTGGCTGAGTCTTCCCCATGGCAATCTAACTTTGGCAGAAACACTTGCTTTCATTCCGCATGCCATCAAATCCTTCGACATCATGGACCGTTTTCTCCACAATGGCGCCCTATCGGGGACCTTCGCAGACATGATTAACCATTACCGGGACATGCCGTACGGTCCGATCACAAACAATACGATATATCGGATGATGAAGGGGCCAATGCTACATCGCGCGAAGACTGATCCGACTTACGAGGACTGGACAGTTGCCAGACATACGACTTTACCGAGACCTGCTGGATTTGATCCCACCAGTGTCAGCGTAGCAGGCTTTGCCGCACCCTACAACTTCAACTCCCGTGAAAGGACTGTAGCAGCGAATCAACCCCCTCCTAGCATTCCATTTCGCGATATGGCAAACGGAGTCAAGATCATGCCGTCAGGACAAGATGCACTAGATCTTACACGATGTGTCCAATATTGCGTGAAACACAACGATTCGAGCTGGCTATATCCTCAAGATTTCCAGAACCTGGTCGCTCGACTCGGGGGTGCTTCTACTGTGCACCCATATCATCATGACGATGCTGCAATTCGGAGACACACTTCCGAAAAGAAGCGGAACAATGCGAAGCGAGCCGGTGCACGACAGCGTGATAGGAATGGGCGCCTCATGAAACAGTCGAAGGACTTTGTGGTTGACTCAGATGAAGAAGAGCCACTGGATGAAGAGTCTGGAGAGGAGTCTGAAGCAGATCTAGATAACTTCGATTTTGATGCTTTGGACATTGACGACGACGAGCCAGTCACTACCAACAAGAAGGGTTCGAGGCGTAAGAATGTCGTGGAAGATGACACGTCGGACGAAGATGAGATCACGCCGCGTACCCGTAACTCATCGAAACGGAAGCGTACTTTCATGAAAGACGAAGAAGACACCCCACCTAGGCAAAAGTCCAAGCGCAGCAAGAAGACGTCGCGAGGGACGCCTGCATGGCGCTCACCGAGAACCCGGTCGTCATCACGCCTTAGCAAGGAGGTGCTGCCTGAAGCGGTCGACTCTGACTCTGATTTTGACGCTTATGCCGGACCCAAGAAGCGGACCAAGAAGCCCAAGGTTAGCACTCGATCTTCACCTCGCGGCCAGCGCTTCGGTGGCTCATATAACTTCAAGAACGCCCTAGACGGCGAGGAAGAAGAAGATGACGAAGAGAATGAGAGTGAAATGGAACACGCTCCGGCTTCGAACAGGCGGATCCTCACTCCGGCGGAGATGCGTATGGTGGGCCGCACGGGAAATACGGGTGTAAACAACGTTGTCGAGGATGACGAAAGCGAGATAGGAGAAGGCGCCTCTGAAGATGACGAGGACTTTGGTTTGTGAGCTGAGCGCAATCCATGTCGGCGATCGTTACAATGGGATGTAACGTGTTTTTTCATCGCGACAGTGTATCCTTCTTGGCCTGTCTCCTGTAGTGGCGTCATATGGCCTATATACATAGATTGAATAAGGCTATGTTTATACGAATTGCGCTTGTCTTTGTCGAATGAATGTTGTTCTCCTCATCAACGCACTATTCATAGTGGCTAATCACGGTGAAAGCGTAGTATCGTCTTCGAGCACGAACATATCCTATAACCTCACCGCCTTTCCCGAATGTGCCATTCTGACCACTCCCACTTTCCAAATACGGTAGCGCAGCAACTGATTGCTGGGACGGTGAGAATGCGCGCGCCAAGTCGTTGCCTTGGCGATACTGAGCTCCACGCTCACTTTTGTCCAAACCACAAAGCCGTATTAAGTCCTCACACTACAGTCACACTCAATCCTCTCGGCCACTTCAATCCACCTCTCCTTGCAAGCAGACAACACCATTACGGAAGTACCGGCGACGAGCTGTCGGCATCATGGCTTACGGTTCGGTCGCCACGCTCAGTACCGTCGAGACAAGGACCGGCAGCAACGAACCTGCCGTACCGTCTTCGAGACAGCACAACAGGCTTCATGGCTATGGCCAACTTGTTGGCGTTTCTAGCGTTCCACTCATCGGTTCAGAGAGTCCGAATGCTCCAGGTAAACTCCCCTCGAATCTGAAGCGATCTTGCACTAACTCCGCACAGTTACGACCATGCTTCCTCCCGCTGTCAACGTTCCGCAGTCTCCGCGTCCAGTAACTACACCAGCTGATGAGTATGCCAGACTTACTCGCAGGCAGCGCCGCGACGCCAGAGAAAAGAAGCGTATCCAGAAGGCTGCGCGTGCCGCCAGGGACGAGCTGTACAGGGCCCGACAGGTTGTCAAGGACGCGCAAGAAGTAGCTCGAGCAGCCAGGGAACATGCTTCTCGATACTCTCATATTCCGGCCCCCAAAAACACTAGAGCTATCTCTTCAACTCCGCGTGTCATCAAAACCAAGAAGTCTAAGAGCAAGTCCGCTGACTCAGTTCATTCGGATCCTGTGGATATGGACGAGACTTGGTCGTGGATCAAGGAGAGTTCGTCAGCAGCCTCTCAGAATGGTAGTGCGCGTGATCGTCACTGATCTTCTTGGATACGGCGGAAACTGGATCTCGCCATGGCTACAAGGGTGTTTTCTCTGTGAAGGCTGTGAACCGTTTTAGCTGCACCACATACACCGAGTGAGTCTACAATCGGGAGGTGAGGGTATAAGGATTGGGTAATTTCTGCGAAGTGTCAGTGGCCTGTGGGCTTTGTCTAGCAAGTTACCCATGCGAGGGCACTTCCGCGTCTTTGCCCCCCGAGATGGACAAGCAATTTACAGCCTCGTCTCACATCTTAGAAAAGCAAAAATGTGAAACACACCACTGAACCGAAGATCTTGTGGGGCGAAAATAATACATTGTGAAGGCTAGCCTTGGTTCGTAGCTCGCCTCCCGTCCACTTATGCAGCCGCGATGTGAATTGCGCCTGCTGTCCCCGCGCCCGCGCCCGCCACCCCCGCTTACTAACCCCAACCTGACCCCCAATATCAGCTGCCTTGCGGTTTTCTTCCTGCTTCCTTCCTCTCATGTTGCGCTCTTATAACCGTGTTTCTCGCTTGTGATGCGCGTTTTATTTTGCGGCGGTAGGCACGGCGCTGCCGACGATGCCCGGGCCCGCTTTCGGCGATAGCGCCTATCTGATTGCCCGAAGAGCAAGTCACCACCCACGGCCGCTACTGTGAACCATGGAAACAGTCGATCAACACGCGCGTTTAGAAGGTCCTTACAGGGATACAAACCCTTTCTCCCTGGGTAACATCACACTTTTACTCCTACGTCGTCGCACAATGGGGCAACTCTCTCGTTTGTCTCTCACGCCCACCACTGCCTATTGAGGTCACTCTCACCATGGTGAAAACGGAGGATGTGAGAGGACCATCGTATAGCTCGGCGTACAATAGCTTTGTGGCTTTACATCACCACCCCGAGGGCTCAAGACCTCAATGCGATCCTTGGATTACAACTCAACCAGACAGTCAAAAGCTACACTCCGACAACGCCCACGACACCTACGACACTACACATTGCGCAAAAGAGCCACTATCACCAACCTCCCGGCCGCCTCACTATGGCTCCAGCTCGTTTACACCTACAGCGCGTTGGGAACCCACACAAGTACGGTTTCCGCAAGTCGAAGAGAACAGAAGACGCACACGCAGTGCCCAGCTACCAGCAGAAGACTCACTTCCACGGCTACTTTCACGGCACCCCGCCACCCGATCCACCTCATATAGCGCCGATCATTCCTACACAACAAAGACGAATTCCGCTGGCGCCCTACTTTCATGAGAATGTTGCGACGAGTGCGCAGGCTGCGGCGTACGAAGATGCTATCACCACTAGAGCCTGGCGCAACGAGTGGGACGTCGCGCCAGATGATTTTGGCCCATCTAAACCCCTGCTCCTCCTCAATCGGCCTGCGAACGTCGACCTAATGAATCACACGTGGGAAACCGAATTAGTCCATTTGTGTCACTGGGATCAATACCACGAGCCAGAAGGTGTGCTTTCTCAACGCTTGGCAAAAGAGAGAAGGAGAACGAAAAAGAAGCTGCTCTTGGGAAACAGCAGGTTCGAGCAAGATAAGATACGCAAGAAGGTGAAGCTGGCAGCTGCGACTGCGGAGGTTGTCGACTTGACTCAAGATGAAACTGTTGAAGGTGGAAACTTCCCAAGTTATGCTGGCATCGAGGAAGCTTGGAACTATCCGCCGGGATATTTTCCCATCACAAGGGGGATTTGAGGCTGCTAGTACTCTGAGCCTAGCATTGATACGGCTTTAATCATGGCACATCCAGAAACTCTTGGAGATATTGTGCGAGATCAGCATGCAAGCCAGACAATATTCACTTCGTTCAGAATGCCCTCATTCTTCAATCTTCCCAAGGCGACGACTTTCGGCGCGGAAATGAAAATCCCTTATCGAAAATACTAAGGGATACGAACACATGGTAGAATAGGCTTCACCGCAACGGTCAGTGAAGGCTACTTTACTCTTTTCGAATTCACTCTGCTTGCTGCTGCGTCTCAAGTATATCAACCTCTCTACTCTGTCCTTGGCACAGACCCACCACCTCGCAACTTACCACCACTCTCGCTAGAATCTACTAGAATTGACTGTAACTATCCCGAAGATAGTATGAGTTTCACGGAGCCTAATACAGGCTACACGCCATCACTACACGGAAACACAATGCGAGCGGGTTCAGGAGAATTGCCTGCGCCACATCAACTCCCTGGGAAAAAGGGTGATGACACAGCAGTGCCGAAAGCTCCATCAAGAGGGAAGCCCCGCGCTCAATTCCTGCTTGACATTCCGGCCCACGAGTACAAGCTGCCTTGCGACGGACCAATCAATGCAACTCTCGTAGATCTGATCGTAATACTCCCACAATGGTTCCGCAATCCTGCTGTCGCATATCGCATGTTGAACAACGGTATCAGTGCCGCAGTTCACTTTGCAATCTTGGACAAGCACCGCCACCTCGGCTTGACCAGTTCAGAAGAAGCGGAGCGCGCCCGCGACCATATCTCGGACACGTATCGAAAGAAGATGCGCAACACATGGCCAAACTGGACCAAAGCGAAGCATCCCGTGCCGTGTGATTGGAATAAGACGGCGATGTCCATCGCCAATTTCTTTCCCGAAGCTGCAAACAGAGATGACTATGTCCCACCGCCGTCGATACCATTCAAGAACTTGGCGATCGGTCTGAAGAGTTTACCCCAGGATGACGATGTGGGCGACCTTACTCGCGCATTGGACTTCGCGCTGCGGTACCAGAAGCTTGATGAGCACGACCATCCGACGGACTTCATGTTCCCGGATGATGTCCAGCTCATTCTCAGATGCATTGGTCCCACTGAAATTACCCAAGACCGTTACGATGAGGCTGTCATAAGTCGGTACTCCGAAGCGGTTCGAGTGGCAGAAAGTGAGCGTCGAAAGCAACTAAATGAACAGCGGCGCCAGCAACGGGCTGCCGAGGAGGCAGCTGCTCAGCCTGTTCCCTATTTCTACCCTGATCAGCCTTCGTCGCTTGGAGGCTTTCCGATGGATCTACTGGCTCAGCAGCAAATGCAGCCGGCGGTTGACTTCTCGTATCCGAATCAAGGATACCACGGTATGCCTCCGACGGGGATGGGCGTTTTAATGCCCAATGCTGAACAGCATCCACCAGGAACGGAAGCCAACTCACAAGATTTACTCCAGTGGCCTCCGCAGATGCAGTCACAGCCTCAAGAGTACAACGAATCGAACTTTGCCGAGCACAGCTATAGCCACCCACTCCGACTGCACCCAGTACGATCGAGATCGCAAGAGGCCGCTGCAGCAGTAGCATCAGAGCTCGTATACCAGGCTTCTCAGCCAGCCCCTGTGAACTTGCCCGCCATCCCCGATATCTGCATACCCGAAGGCTATGTACAAGACGACAACGCTTTCCCAGACTCTTGGCTATATCTCAATCCCCAGGAAGCAGCAGGGCAAATGGATGCACTCATGGCAGCAAACCAGACGTTTGACTTCAGCGACGTGGAACGATTGGCGTGGCCGTCGCTGCAACCCCGATTTAATTATAGTCCTGACACGCCTTTGCTGGATTGTCCGGAGGCGCAGGATTCGCATGATTGGGGCGAGCTCGCTCGTGCGGCGCGATGGGCACGGTCCCATACGCATCCTTGTGGCCGTGCATTCACGGTCGGAGATATCGATGCTGTGTTAGCTTTCTTTGAAGGCCCGGGGGCGCAGTTTGAGCAAGACAGGAGTTGATCTGCTTATCGGGATTTGACGTGTCTATGATCTGAGATGACACGTAGTTACCGTATCGTTAAGAATTCATGTAAAGGCGGAGATAGTCGAGATGTAAATTCATCATGGGCTCCCAAAGTTGCGCAAAACGTACCAAAAAAAGTAGAAAAAAGAAGAAAATCTAGATGGTTTCGTAGAAACTGGGTGTCTAGCTAGATGCTACATTCTCAAAATGCTGTACCTCTGTATCAAAAGATAGTGTGCTACTTCTTCCGTTCAATCACCTGCGTACTTTACAGTGATAAGCCCTACTTTGCCGTTTATCTACCGAATGCCGCCAGAAGAGGGTTTGAGGGGTTGAAGAGTTGTCTGACGGTGGAATGTACCAACTGGCTGAAGCATGCATACCGCTATGATGTCGCCCAGAGTTTAAGTGGAGAATGGTTGGCGTTGGGAAGTGCTGATCCAGTCCTCGATACGCGGTGGAGCCTTGAGCAAAACTGTGTCCCGAGATAAAATGCCAATACACGGTTGAAATGAGATCCATCAGTTCTGCAACACAACCTTATTCGGCCTAGTATAATATGCAGTGATTCTGTCGTTGTCTAGCATAGGCGCGTTTTGCGCATGAGTCTCTAGGGCTGACACGCATCTTGCGAGACGTCGGCTAGTACCCCTCCTTTCCTCTCACGTCAGACTCAGTATAAAGCTGCAGGATTAGCATGTACATCCGACTATGAACTTACAATTGCTTTCGTGCAATCCATTCACTTGTCTTTAATCGATACTCAACCACGAGATTGAACCACCTCAGACAGTTTCGTCCAACCCATTCGAACCACCGATATGCGGGCTCTTCGCTACCATGGTGCTGAGGATATGCGTCTGGAACACGACGTTCCAGAGCCGGTATGTGCAGCCCATCAAGTAAAGATTCAACCTTCCTTTTGTGGAATCTGCGGGTCCGACTTGCACTTCTACTGCATACCGGACGCTCTTCCTTTCAAAGACACGCCTCATCCAATCACCGGCGAGACATGGCCTGTAACTCTCGGGCATGAGTTTTCTGGGGACATCGTCGAGGTCGGAGCGCAGGTGCACAAAGGTCTCAAGATTGGAGACAGAGTGGCCGTCCAGCCTACCATTTGCTGCCAGCAATGCGTTTCGTGCAAAGGCGGCTTAACCAATTGTTGCGATTCGTTTGGGTTCGTGGGAATCATGGGTTGGGGAGGTGGGCTATCGGATCGGGTGTGTGTGGATGCGCAGTTCGTATTCAAACTGCCGGAGAAGATAACGTCAGAAATCGGAGGTAAGACAGTCGGAAAGCTCACTTGAGGTAGGGAAGGATACTGACACAGTGGCATAGCTTTGGTCGAACCGCTTGCAGTTGCTTGGCATGCTGTCGAACAGTCGGCCGCCAAAGCAGGAGACAACATCTTGGTTATCGGCGCCGGCCCGATTGGTTTGGCCATTCTCCAATGCCTGAAAGCCTTGGATACTGCCCAGGTGATAGTTGCCGAAGTTGCTCAGAATCGAAGGGACTTGGCTCTACAGTTCGGAGCTACGGCGGCGATCGATCCGACGGACGAAGACATGGTCTCCAGATGCAAGATGCTGTGCAATGGCCAAGGCCCTGACGTTGCCTTCGACTGCGCTGGAGTAGCTGCCAGTATCAAATCAGCGTGTTTATCAGTTCGAAGCAGGGGAACCGTGGTGAATGTTGCCCAGTGGGGCAAGGAGATCCCCTTCAACCCGGACAATCTGTTGGTTGGAGAAAAGAGGCTGATTACAGGTAAGCCATCACGCGAAACCACTGGGATGATTCGGAGCCTTGCTGACTTATTCCGAGCGCTGAGTTACACCAGTGAGGATTTCGAGCGAGTTATTGACGCGCTGGATAAAGGAACGATCAATGCGGAGAAGATGATCACGCGTACAATTTCGATGGACAGAGTGGTGGAAGATGGTATACTCGCGCTGCTACACGAGAAGGATAAACACATCAAGATACTTGTTGATGTCAGAAAGTAGGGGTACTGCTAAGGTTGATGGCATGAAGGCAGGAACGTCCGACGCGTGAATGACGCGCGACAAGAAAGCGGGGACGGGTGGCGAGCACGGGCCACGATAGCGCCAAGATCTTCACACTGGTCGCTTCCTCCCGACGTTATCTACTTTTCCTTGCAAAAGCTGATCTCTTCTGAATCTATGAGAATCTATGTGTATGGCCACTTATTTTAGCCTTGTTCTCAGCATGTTCACATAGGATCTGGGCAACCGACGTCAACCGTTGGATCGACCTTTGCGACTGTCTCCAGACTCAAGTTCGCACTACCTACTGGCAAGAAGGCTTGTGACTTTAGCAAGGGATAGCGGTGGATAACGGGACTCGTTTATAATTATTCCTCAGGTCGTGTGATCATTACTAGGATCTAAGAGAGCCAACAGCTCAAGTAGCTATACCGATGTTTCCCCGATGTCTATGAAGAGACTCCTGATCTCCTTCGCTTGCATCTCCTGTTATAGTTTCCTGCAGATCCGATTCATCAGCGCGATGCTGCAGCCCCATCGGTTTGAGCCACAGGTGACTCGTATCATCGTCTAGCCGCTCGAACCCGTCGTCGCTGACTGCTTTCGGCCCACTGGACTTGGACTCAGCATTCGAGGACTTCTTTTTCCCCGACGCGTGAGGTGTTGCTGCGGAGCGACCAAGAAGTGGATGCATCAGAGGCACGCATGCGAGGACTACGGCGAGGCATGGCTCCAGGCCACTGAAGATATTGGCTTTGGGGATCGTATAGGTGATATCGGTAAAGTCCATGCTGGATAGGACGGAGATGCGGAAGGCGCTGACGATACAGGTACTGCCTTGGTTAGAACAGAGCTGACGACAGGATCTCATTTCGACTCACAATGTACCCAAGCCGAAGACGGCGACGAGAGTCACTCTTTTGTACGTCGCCATCTGCAGTTGATACAACGGACGCATGGGCAGAAGAAGCACCATGACGTCCGTGACCAAGTTGATAACTCCAGTAATCGTGAATGAGGTGACTTGGTCGCCACAGCTTCCTCCAGGAATCGATTTATCCCAATTGTAGGCGAAAGGCCGGCAAATCAGACAGCCAGCGAGGATGGTTGCGATTGTCCAAGCAACGATGATGGACATGGTCACGTAGGAGCTCCAGACCACCCATCGGATCGGAAAGATCAAGATATAGAGAGATAGAATCGAGATCTTGGTACAGCTGAGACTCAGAACCCACAGAAACTGCAGGGGTATAATGAGCTGCGATAGCTTGGTGATAGGTTCGAGGCCGTACGCTACTACAATGTTCTGGACGTGATCGTAGCCAATGCCGGCATGGAAGACTCCGGTGATACTCATAGACTGCAGGCCAATAGCGAAAATCTGCAAACTGTTAGATGTGTTGTCGATATTCGGAGCTTGATTTCTTACACAGGCGGCAATGATGAAGTAGTCGGCAATTGTCCATCTTTTGTGGGCGATCGCGTGAGCGATCAGTCGTAGGGTAACGGCCAGTGCAGCAAGAATTGAGAAGCTGAATGCAACACCCAGTACTGCTCTCTGGTCATGAGTTCGAATAGGAAATGTGGTGGTCATGTTGTGGTGCAGATCCTGATGCGATAGTCTGGTGTGCGACTCACGCGACGACGTCTACCGTCTGTATCGCAAAATCACTCGCAGGCTCGGAGGTGTATAAACAAGCTGGTCCACTGCGGGAAGATCGCTCTTGGGGAGGAGGTGGGCACATGAGCTGCCGACCTCCCCGTGCGAAGCCTCGCATTTCTGTTTGCGCACCCCATGTCTTTTCCCGCGCTGATCAAGATACCCCTTGGCTTAGGATTCCAACAAAGAATCCTTCGCAGGCCTGAAGAGCCGTTCCTCACCCGACGTGCCGGCTCAGGCGTTCACCCCAACTAGTCCCACGGCCCTAAAAGCGTGACAGCGGCCCCATCCGGCTAGGCTTCATGGCATGTTCTGTGCGGTGTCGCATTCTCGTTGCTGATAGGACGCGTAACCTGCCTTTTGTCTTGTACGAGACCTGCGCACGCAGATTCTCCCACCCGAGCCTGTCCACTACGCTTCAGGCCCGGGGGAGGGCGGGCTATCGTGTAAATACCGGATAAAGCGTGTGCCGCGACGCGAAGGGTTTCGTCATGCGTGGCCTGAACAGATCTATATCAGAGCCCACGCGCGCACGCAGAACGTAGCCAATGTGTAATGCGATGCTGTCCGGGAACGTTTCGGGTCTTCCGATTTTGATCACGTCAGTTATGGCTGCACCTGCAATGGGAGTCCAGTCGCGAGAGGAAGAGCCCATCATGCGCAATACGAGGGCATGGCGCCGAGACACTGCCGTCCAGATCCGAGCAAGTTGTTATCACGATTTCGGGGCTTCATGCGCGAAAGGTGGCCGTTGCTGCCAAGTGCCGGCTGGGCTAACCCGTTTTGGGCATGGTTCCAGGAACGATGGCCTCAGTAATGCCGTGCATGCAGGTATCCGCCATTCTGGTCTTCCTACAAGTGGTTGTGTCGCCCACAGCTGTCCTGGGTTGCTCCTCCAGCCATGTCCAGCCTTGTCGTGACCGTCCTTTTGGCCGTGAGTGCCCTGACCGCACTTTACCTTTACACCAACAAGAGCAAAGATGCATCCGAGAAGCCGCTCCTCAAGCTGCCCCTCATTGGTGATCTCCACAGCTCGCCAATCGAGAAACCACTGGTAAACTGGAGCGCCTGGTCGAAACAACACGGCCCGATTACAGTTCCCAAGCTGTTTGGAATTGTGCCCATTGTCGTGCTCAACTCGTACGAGGCCGTTACTGAACTCTTCAGTCGTCGTAGCCAATGGTACAGCAACCGACCAGCCTCAGTAAGCATGGAAATGATTACTGGGGCTGGGCCAGGGCGTTCTCGATTCACGCTGATGCACGACTATGACGATCACCTAAAACTGCACCACCGCATCCTTTCACCAAGTCTCGGTGCGCCGGCGGCA